GCTTATTTTCGGGCAATGGATGGTTTGCCCAGGAAATAAATTTTTTTTTCAAATTTTTTTGGCTTTTTTTTGTTATTGGATCCAAAGATGCCCATGTATCACCGATATGGAAATGGAATCTGAAGATGAGTTATACATCATTTGATAGAGTATTAAATTCTCTACAAGTTGATGTATAACTCATGTCCGGGCAATGGATCGTGTGGTGCACAAATTGATTTTTTTTCAAAATTATGTGTTTTTATTTCGTCGTGCTAGCTTCACACTGATTTATTTTGTATTGGTTGCTAAGTGCTGCCATTATGGTTGCGCAAACCCTCAAAAGCCTGTTTTTTATTATTGTAATTTTTTCATTGGTTGATTTTCATATCCAATGAAATTTTTTTCTTTGTCGTGCTAGCTCGTCGCGTCGTGCTAGCTTCACATCGATCTACATAACTATGGCTACAAACGATGATTACGAAGAAAATCTACAAATATTAGTAAAAAAGCAACTTGAAGAGCAAGAAAAAATGGAACAAAAACTCCAACAACTTCGGGATGAAATCGAAAAAATAAAACGTGAAGCTGAAGAAATAGAACTGACCAAGGAGAGTAAATATCAAAATAAAATCGAAAAAATGAAAAGTGAAGCTTGGGATATAAACCAAATCCAAGTAGCAATAGATAAACATAAAATCAACAAAAGGATACGTGAACTTGCCGTATTAATGAAAATCGAAAAAACAAAAGAACAAATCGGACCAGTAAAACAACAACTCTTAGAAACAGAAAAACGATTCAACGAAATCAAACTTCGGGAAATAAATGAAAGTATCGAAAGAAAACGACGAATAACAGAAGAGGAAGACGTTTCATCAACTGGAAAACGTCGTCGTGTATTTACATCTTATTATAATTTTTACGACATCGATGTAATCGATAATTTATATTCGTTCGATATTAATAAAGTATTACAGCACAATGATTATTTTAATGATAATATATTAAATTATATTGAATATTATTCAAATCAATTTTCATCATATTCTAAATTAAACGAAAAAAGAAATTCGTGAAGAATTTGATCATTTAATTTTTAATTTATTAAATACATCGAATAATAATACATCACTGAAATATTTAAATACATCTTCTTCATATTATTTAGAAGATAAGTTTAATCCTGATTGTACATTTATATATAAAAATATAAATATCAAAATTAATAAAGAAGATTCATTTTTACAAGATTTTATTGTTTGTATTGGTAATTTAAAATCTCCAAATATTTCTTTATCAGAAGATTCAATAATTGAAGAAATATTACATTATTTGAAAATTATATTGACAATTCAACATCGTGAAATCATACATGGTTTTCTAAGTAATTATACACATATCAAATTTTTTCGTGTACACAAGGATGATTATTCGAATTCATATGAATATTTTCAAAGTCAAGAATTCGAAATGTTTAACTATTTGTCTGAAACATTATCGTCTATTGATACGTCAGTAATAACTGAAAATAAAAGAAAATTAGGTGTTAATAAAGATACATGGAAAATGTTTATAAAGTTTTTAATGGTTTTTGGCTATTATGATTATGAAGGATTAGAAATAGAACCTAATGATGATTTACTTGGTGATCGATATATGTTAACAAAAAAATTAGTAAATGGTTACAATACAATGTCTTATTTATTAGAAAAAAATCAAGATAATCATTCAACTGAAGATTCTTCACATTATGTAATGAAAATATTAGAAACAAATGGAGATTCAGAACTTTTATTAAATGAAGTTAAAATAACAAAAATATTAAAAAGATTTAATAATTCAAACAAATTTCATTTATTTTTTCAAAATATTATTGATCGACCATCATCTTCAAGTAAGACATTTGTCTATTGATTTTTTGTGATTAGATGATCTATTTGAATTTCCAAAAAGCTTTTTTGAGTTTTCACTATTATGTTCTACCTAGTAGAGATCGAGAGACAAGAGATAGTGAAGGTCTAGCTCGTTCCACTTATATCAACAAAAATACGATATGACTCCTTTCTCCATATCCAATGTAACAAAAACTATAAATATGAACAAATTTAATCTTATTGAAATACATGACATCATTTATATTCAGAAGTCATAGATAAATTACTATATCGATTATAAGTTAATTAAATGTTTGTCTTTTTCTCTGTACTAGCTTTAAAAAATAATATTTAAAAAAAATTGTCCTGTACGATGACAGGCTTTTTTTTGTTTTCAGTAAATTTTCTTCAGGAGTGATATAGAAAACAAATTAGACTTTACTTTTATTGCCGTCTTTTACTTTTTTCATATGATTTCTTATCATCTTTTTCTTTAACAATCAGACACATTGACAACCCTATTTAGATAAGAATATTGATATACATCAATAGGGTAAGTGTGTACAGTGTAGGTTTAATATAGTAGATATAAAGTTATCTGACTAAGGATATTAGTGTAAGACACTAAAGTTAAGAATATGGTGTATATATGCCTAAATCCTTGTGCATATATCTCTAGTCTTGCATATCTATATAGAAAAACATAGGATAAATAGAGAGAAGTAGACCTTCAAATGACTTACATTCATACTCTCAACATAAGATTAGTGTTGGAGAAAAAGTATCAAAAACTAAAATTAATCTTCTCAATTGGTTTTGTAAGTTTAAGTGTGAATTATGAAAAACTTCAAGTTTGGGAGCGATGAATTATCAATTTTTGATTTCAATGATTTTTCTATAAAAATTCAAACTTATAAGGATATTAAAAATTAGATCGATAAATCTTAAAACACTTAGAGTAAAAACAATCAAATCGAATGAAAATTTGATAGTTAATGAGAAAGATTTATTATTAGGAAAAATGCATTAAATATCAATCTGATACCAGAAAATTGTAATAAAGAAAAGATTTTTAATTCATCGATAGCAGAAGACTTAAATAATTGACAAGATTTATTTGGGTTTATTTCCAAATCTAAAATTGTAATTGAACAACTGTCTATGTTATTCGTTTTTAATTTAGATTAAATAGCTAATAAATATTATTAAAATACTGTCTCTAATTTGTTAATTTTTATTTTCAGTTAACCATTTATTATATGAAAAAGAATTACAATGTATAGAATCATTTTCTTTAATACAAGCAAAACAATTTATTGATATAATTCATTATCTATATGACTGTCGTATTATTCATCGTGGTGTAACTCCAAAAAATTTAATGTTAGATCGTGATACTAATCATATAAAATTAATTGATTTTAGTTTTGCCATTCAATGTAATATGGCTAACAAAGGGGGCAGTATATATATTAGGTCCATTTACATATACTAGTCAATCATTTTTAAATGCTTATTTAAAAGTTTTAACTGGAAACCGCTATAATGATTATTGTTATGAACCAACTTTTGATTTAATATCTGCATTAAATATTATAATGACGATGAATAATGTTGATATCAAACAAAGTATTGATTCAATTGATATATTAGAAGATGAAAAGGAACGTATATCACAATCATTACAATTATGGAAAGATATTCTACGTACAAATAAACATTATTCAAATTTATTGAATTTAATAAACAAGTTGGATATAGGGGATTCATTTTATAAATCAGATGAATTATCCGTTTCTGATATTTTAAAAGATGAATCAATTGAATCAGATCAATCTTCAATTTCCAATGTTTCAATAGATGAATCAATTGAATCAGATCAATCTTCAATTTCCAATGTTTCAATAGATGAATCAATTGAATCAAATCCATCTTCAATTTCCAATGTTTCAATAGATGAATCAATTGAATCAGATCAATCTTCAATTTCCAATGTTTCAATAGATGAATCAATTGAATCAGATCAATCTTCAATTTCCAATGTTTCAAAAAACCAATCAGATCCATCAGCAATTTTTGATGTTATAAAAGATGAAATAGAAAAAATTTTCGATATATGAATAATTATATTTATGTTTTTTTTTCCTATATCATATGTTCATATCATTCATTTAAAAGTTCACATAGCACTTCTCATTAATATTTTTCCATTCATTTCTTTTTTGTTGTTTGTTTATTATTTTGTTGTTTATTACGTTTAATCTTTATTCATACATAAACAATCATAGTCATAAAAGAAAATTATTTTTCATCTATTAAAATAATCTTTGAATTTTCTCGTTTAGAGATACGAAAGTTGTATTCTATAGATTTACATAATCAAAACTAATCTTTAGTTCAAAAAAGATTTTCGATTGAAAGAAAAATTTTCGTGAAAATTATAAAATGAATTTCTTTTGAATTAATATAAAATGCTTTGTTTTCAATCAAAATGATAATAAATACTAGTAAATTAAATTAAATTTTGATTACCCTAGTCAAAGGATGTTTTTCTTTATTAATATGGATGTGAGTGTGAGTGCGGTGAAGGGTATGAATCGACAGTAAGAATTTCAAGCTTCTCTTTCGATCCATCCTTAACTTGTCAACTTTTATTACCTACATAGTGATATAAAATCAAAGTTCGAATCTAAGACCGGATACACGTGAAGAAGCAAATCCATTTCTAACATTATTGACGTCATATAAATATATAATTAGATAATGTATCGATAGAAAAATTTCGCATTTAATGAGATTCCTTGGAAAGTGTTGTATTTTCGAAGAGACGATGTTCGATTGCTTTACAGATAGTAATAGTAAACCACAAATTATTTTTTCAATAGTTTCTCAAAAATCGGATTATTTAAAAGAGAGATTTACATTTACAAAAGTCTGAAGATTTCTAGAATTAAAAAAAAAAACGACTCGTCACATGTGCATTGGTTTCCAATTTCCGTAATCTCATTTTTACTGAAAAGATATTTTTCGAGAGTAATATTTATTTCTTTGAAAACTTAATACTGATAATCATACTGTGGAGCTCGTTCTTATCGATATGATCGAAGTAAATAATTTCTATATTAAAATTTCATGAATAAACTATGACTGTTAGCTTTCGGGTTAAGGGGACACGGTATTTTTTCTTGTGTCAAAAGATTTTGTTGTAGTTAGATTTTTTAAACATTGTCATTCTTAAAAAGAGCGAACTTAGGAATTATGGCATTTTCTATGATCTTCATTCAAAATATTAAAACAATCTTAAAAGTTATAAAGATACAAAATACCTAAAAAGTCAGCAACAAACTTTTCCTTGGCTTTTTATATATGCTTATTGTTAAGAATTAGCTTAAGGAAAGCCCAACTGGTCGTCCGATTGGCATTTCGACGTGTCGATTTCAGCGTTCGATGGACATCGAAATTCTAAATCGAGCCCTTGCATTATCACTTTCCGATAGGTCAAGGGCTCAACGATGGGTTATTTCTATAAGTGTTTCAGTAGCTCGATGTAGATTAGTATTAATTCAAAATGCATCGATGATAATGACTACTCCATCTATAGCTAGTATGGACTGATAACCATTTCACTCGTAACCGATATTTACTGTTACTCACTGGTCTTTTGGAAAAATAATGGTTTTTCTTATTAATTTTGATCAAAGATTTTTGAGATTGAAGAATCGAATACGACCATCAAACTTGGTGAAAACTGGTGAACGTCATCATATAACAATGAAATACTTACCGATGAAATGATTGCCAGTTCATACCAATTACTGATTTGGATCAATGAACTAGTGATTAATCGTTACAGTTGCATCTCTAATATTAATTAGTTCACTGCTAATTAAGTGTATGAAGAACAAAGGGTACGCTCCTAATTCCTAATTGACCTGTCGAGCTCACTTTTTCGGATTCTTTCAAATAGTTTACTCTTTATATATATATATATATATGGTCGCGCTTGCACACATTAAATCTGCGTGTCAAATCTCATTGAATATCTGCTAGAATTCAACTATTGGATCTTTTGGCAATTTCGTTATCCGGTCACAACCGACAAAATTTTGACGGTTGAACGGATCTTACAGGATCTGATCGGATTAATTCTATAGGATTGATCAGAAAGAAGAAAGCCTGCTTTTATGTAATAGAATCATGCATGGATAACGTTTTCTAAACCTTGTTCCCTCAATTTTGCGCTAGGATGTGACAAATTCATCGTCTTTCTGTATGTCTACGCGCAAAATCGAAAAAAAAGTTGGATGCTATATATAAGAATAATCGAAATGACAAGTTGTTAAGAAGTATTAGAGTCAGCTAATATCAACTATCATTTTTGTGTGCTCTACTATATGTTGTCATTTTCTTGCTCTCCTGATGTCATAGGTATTCTCCTATTCTGTTATCTGTTCTTTCTTGAATCTAACGTATTGTTCAAAATCTATATATAGTTTCTTATTTGTACAATAAAATGTGTGAGTGTGTATATCCGATACAATTATCTTTGACTATTATTCAGTAGAAGCAATAAGTGTCTTAGAATGGATCAACTTCACAATATGCTATGTTATTATTTCATTAAACTAAACTGTTGAAAATAAAATCAATTATGAAAACTTTAATAAACGTAGGCTAAAAATGGAACTCACCAATTAGAGAAATGATTTGACAAAACTGTCAGCATTCATACCTTGTTTTTTTGACATATCTACAACAGACAACAAACATGATCACAGGATATGGTTACAACTATCTTAAAAAGGAACCCCATGTTTATAATAGATAATGAAAATAGAGAAATTGTGTGCAATCCTGAAAATTAATCATTTTGTCCCTTTGATTCTATATGATTAATAAAAAAAACATGTTTTTTCCTTTTGCACCTCACACTTAAGAGGTGTGGGTGTGGGTGTGGGTGTCATGATTTCGATGATCTCAGCAGCCACACCCACACCCTCATAGCCACAGCCACACTCACACCCACACCCACACCTACACCCTGCTGTTCACGATGAAATTATTCATAACTAATGATAAGATGGATGAGATTAATAGAAATGATAGAAAAATAATTGATGAGATTTATAACATATTCGAATTTGTTGTATATCTATGTTGATAATATTTGCTCATATATTTTGATGATTAAAACATTAAATGTTCGTATTCTATTTTGAAATCGAAAGAAAATAGAAGAATTGATAAAATAGTCTACAGAAAGATTGTAAATGAGCATGAATCAACGAAATAAAACAAACAAGATAAATTGGTATTTCGATGCGAAATAATAAAAACGAATGCTATTATTCAATTTGTCAAAATGATGTATCTTTTTCTAATATTTATGAATGCAAAACAATATTTCACTCTAAAATATTTTACTAAACATCATTAACATCAAGATACTTGATTCAATCATATAATGATACTTTTCCGACAAAATGAATATTTGTTCATCAATCTATTCGTTTAGAACGAGGATGTGAGTGTAGGGTGTGGGTGTAGATGAAGATAAAGACAAGACCCACTCCCATACCCACATAATTTTGTCCATCCAGTTATTGATTGACTATACTTTTCCATTTTATAGTCATTGTTATAGGAAATAAAAATTTTTTTTTTGTACAAACATTGGATCAACTGACATAATCATAATGATAATGGTAATGGCATTTGAGTTTAGATTTACGTTGATTAGTTCTATATCACGATGAATGTAATTATTAATATATAATAAAATAAACTATTTCGAATGGTTAATCTCAACGATAATTATCTTCTTTATTATTTACTTTTTCATAAACGAAATTTTTTAATCTAACAAATATGAACTTTCTTCTTTCAGATGATTTATCATTGAGATTAGAATTATTCAGACTCTTATCTTTTGCGGAGCAATGCTAGATTTCGATGATCAATAAATCATTCGATTTGAAATCTTGATTTTAATGTTTCATTCTTCTATCAAACAAATTTATTCAGAGCAAAAACAGCGAATTCACATATAATCATATCTTAAGAACAGAAAATAAACATATATCTTTTTTTGTCTTCCTTTGATGATCATATTCGTCATATCGTTTTTAATGAAAACATTGATCCCTGAAGCGATGAATACGTCTTTTTTTTCTCGCTTGTAGGAAATAACTGTATACAAATGAAGAAAAACAAAATCCATCAGTTTAGAAAAGAAAGTAATATTATCACTGTATGTTCTTCATTAGCATGGTAAGCGTAATTTAATGATTTACTTTTGTCTTTACTAATAACCTTCAAATCATATCATCGTCAAATAATCTTATGTTAAATAACGAAGTAAAAGTAAACAGATAACTGCAACCTTGTTAGGTGTTTTCTTTACAATGAATTCTATGATAAAATTTTATTGATTGTGAAATTTGTTTGACAAAAATCGGTCCTATCTCATTCAGAATATGGAAATTAAGATTTGTATTGATATATTCACTATTGAACGAATAAAAGTAAAATTGTTCTGATTATTCTATATTATTGAAAACTTTACAATTAGAACTAGAAATATCAAATACATGACGGTGTGGGTGTGTGTGAATGTAGATGAGTTTGAGTCTTATTTTCCTTTACATCCATACCCTGAGCATCCATTCCCACCTGTCACCCTTTCTTAAAGAAGCATTTTGTTTTGACATCGGATACTCAATTTCAAATTATTGTCAAGTTATACTTTATTTTAGAAAAAATAATTTCCCATGTGAATGATAATAAGAAAAAAATCTATTCAATATAAATTGGATAACCTGCTGACAGAATCTTATCGTATCCTCCACCATGAAGTATTGGAAGAAGAACTACTTCTCCAACTTTGACACGAGTGATCACAAGCTCTTGTCTTTTATCAAAATTAGTCGAATTGAATACAAGTCGTTCTGGCGTCCATGTTGCACAATCCATACAGTTAAAAACACTTGATGGTTGCCACTCAATGATCACTGTGTCATTGTCATGAATTCGATGAGGTGGAGTACTGAGCCAAATTTCAACTATTGCACTTTTTTTCAATCCTATTGTTGATAACTGTGAATTGTATCGAATTCCTAATGTAACGTCTTGGCAATCGTATGCCCAATTTTTTGGAATTGTATCGAATAGTCGATCATCTGGTTTACCGATCGATATAACTTTGTATGTTGTTGTTTCTCGTTCAGAACTGCAGATAATATCCAGTACTTGAGTTCGTCGAATTGGTATATCTGTATTTCTCTGAAAATAAATTTCATCACACGGATACTTTTCATGACAGAGTTGACAAAGTGTACTCGAATA